CCTTTTAATATATCGCATTTTTAAGTATATTGCATCTTTTAATATATTGTACCTTTCAGTATATTGCAGTTTTCAGTATATTATACCTTTCAATATATTGCATCTTTCAATATATTGCACCTCCTAATATATTGCATATTTCAATACATTGCACCATTCAATATATTACACTTTTCAGTATATAGTACCTTTCAATATATTGCATCTTTCGGTATATTGCATTTTTCAGTATATTTCATCTTTCACTATATAACATTTTTTAGTATATTGCAGTTTTCAGTATATTACACCTTTTAATATATTGCACCTTTCAGTATATTGCACCATATTGCAAATTTTCAAGAAAGAATTCCACCAAACCCATATTAAAAAAATATTCAAATTTCCAGCAAAAAATTTGTCACCAATCACAAGTTTTCAATGTAAAAATACTTTCCACATATTATAATTGTTGTGCTTTAACGTAAAAACAATGCTAATTATAGAAGATGAGCAAACATTATAACAAACTTTTTAGTCATCGACCAAAGTGCAAAGTTTGAATCTTATCGATCACATTATCGTTATCAAAAAATCTACGATTTCCGTTCGACACGAAGTTTTTTTTTCCAGAACCATGGAAAAAAAAGCAGATAATGCAGACGCGTAAAACGATTGCATAAAAGGAGTAGCTAAGTGCCACTTACAGCGTGAACAGGAGTGTAGAACACATATCAGCCTTGCCACAGGCACGCAATAAACCGTAAATAGACGAGCGGCAAAAAGAGCAGGAATCTATCAAATTCTCTGACAGATTGCAGCAACAGATGAGTGACGTAGGAGGATAATATCGATCGTAGAACAAAGAAATTTGCAATTTCTCGCATTTTGGATCTTCGTTTATTTGAGTCGGCTCGTTGGTACTCTCGTGACATTTAAACGGAACAAAAATTTGATACTGTTTTGAAGTATCGTGTTTAATGGAAAAATCGGATCAGAGACGAGATAAAATTATCGATGAATTCGAACAACAGTTTATCGAGCAAAAGATTACGCAAGATATGACTTGCTATATTAATTGTAAGGAAATGTATCATGGCGATATAACGAGAGGAAAATTTAAAGCGAATTGTATAATCTTAACAAATCTTAAATAATCTCAGTATAAAATAAAAAAATTGTATGACTTGCTGTATCAATTTTAAGGAAATGTGTTATGGCAATATAACGAGAGGGAAACTTAAAATGAGTTTTATAACCTTACCAAATCTTAAATAATCTTAACATAAAATAAAATAATTATGTGTTCTACTTGCTATATTAATTCTAAGAAAATATGAGCTTCATGGCAATATAACGAGAGGGAAATTTAAAACGAGTTTTATAACCTTACCAAATCTTAAATAATCTTAACATAAAATAAAATAATTATGTGTTCTACTTGCTATATTAATTCGAAGAAAATATGAGCTTCATTGCAATATAACGAGAGAAAATTTATTCACATATTATTAAATGTAAAACATCATTCAAACATTATTAAACGTAAAACAATGTTATTAAAATATTTAATTGGTTGTAGGAGTCATCAGAATTGCATGATAAACTCCTGTACATCGCATACGCCGATTTCTCCAATTCAGAAGATTCGTGCGAGTGAAAATAAAAGTGGAAGACGTACGCGTGCGTATCGAGCAGACAATTTTGTCAAGTGAGGAGAAAGGAAAATGCCACTCGTTAAAATAGAAACCGACGACAGAATAAGCCGCTGTAAAAACATATAGCGTTAAATCGGCTCTTGAGTATTATCACCGTGCTCGCCATTGTGTTGACTCGTTCTGCGTTTTCTTCAATGTGCCCGCGTATCACTTCCAATGACACGAAACGATTAATCGACCCGTGATTCGACCGGCAAGTTTCCACTTTCGTTTAAATAACATTTGAGGATTGAAAATAACCACTGTAATTTTCATCGATTCAAATAACGCTAATTAATCGTACAGATGTCTCAGGTCATTTTAAGGATCTTAAATAATCTTAATATAAAATAAAAAAATTATTTGAACAACTTAATGTGTTAATTTTAAGGAAATGTATTATGGCGATATAATGAGAGGGAAATTTTAAATGAATTTTATAATGTTAATAAATCTTAAATAACCTTAATGTAATATAAAATAGTTATATGACTAACTTGCTATATTAAGTCTAAGGAAATGTGTGTATCATGGCGATATAACGAGAGGGAAATTTAAAATGAATTTTATAACTTTAACAAATGTTAAATAATCTTAATGTAAAATGAAAGAGTTATATTACTAACTTGCAATATAATTTTAAGACAATATGAGTATTACGGTGATATAACGAGAGGTAAAGTTAAAATGAATTTTATAATCTTAACAAATCGTAAATAATCTTAATGTAGAATAAAAAAATTATCTGACCAACTTCTTATATTAATTCTAAGGAAATATGAGCTTCATGGCAATATAACGAGAGGGAAATTTAAAATGAATTTTATAATCTTCATAAATCTTGAATAATTTTAACGTAAAATAAAAAAATTATCTGACTAACTTCCTAAATTAATTCTAAGGAAATATGAGCTTTATGGCAATATAACAAGAGGGAAATTTAAATTGAGTTTTATAACCTTAATGAATCGTATAATCTTAACAAACCTTAAATAACCTTAATATAAAATAAAAAATGTATATGACTTGCCATATTAATTGTAATGAAATGGCGATATAAATAGAGTAAAATTTAAAATTAATTTCACAATAAATTAAAGCTTATCTTAACTTTTCGACCGAGGCCTAATTAATGTCAATTAACACACAGCAATGCTTATGCATTCATAAAACGAAATATGTAAAATGCATGCAAATTTTAAATTACATGTAACATATTCGAAATATGCAAACCGTATATACGATAATGAAAATTATGCTTGTAATGAGCTTAACAGAGAGAATATTTCATGAAAATATGTATTCGTACGAATAATTGCAGTTGATTAGTCAGTTATGACGAAATTTGTAATTGTTCGACGTCTTGCATAACGCTTCTACAAAAAACTAACGTTAATTTTTGGTATTTGCATTGAACGGTGCTTGAAAGGATACAAATTTACGTAACAATAAATAGTCAAAAGAAAAGAATGAATAGAATTTTGTTAATTATACTCGTCATAGGATATTCAAAAAGACTTATTCTTATACTAATGTCCTTAAAGGAACTTGGATTATTTAATACCTTCATACGTCACAGTAAAACTTAATTGCAGTAGTTGAACAGCAACATAATACACGTGAATAACACGATCAGGAAAAGGAAGTAGAACATTTTTCAGATAACGACTGTGACTACTAATCAGTGAAACAAGATAATTATTTGAGGACAGAAATAAAGGCAATAAGCAAAATTCACTTGCTTGAAAATGTGGAGGCAAGAAAATATAGAAATGGAAGTTGCAAATTTTATAAATATTCAATGTAACCCAATTCAATATAAATTCAATATAAATATTCAACGTAAAAGCTACTCAGCACTGTTGTTAATTCTAATACATTTTTAAAAATTGTCAAACAAGGAAACGTTATATAAATCTGTCTATAAAAACCACTGAATACATTTGATCTAAGAGCAAATAAAAATTAAGAATGTTTAGGAAATCTTTTGTTACCGACGAATTAGAAACCAGTTTCAAACCACATTCATTATGCAACTGTGTCTCGAAACATAATTTCTGAGTTCTCTGCCTATATTGCGAAACCTTATTACGAGATACTTTTGAAGATTCGATACAAAACATAGAATGACCTATTTTAATCCATGAAACCAATTAACCTTTCAAAAATTTGTTAAAACACCGAAGTGTCGACAAAAACACTGAAATTCTCACAGCTTCTGAGAGTCACAGTTTGCAGGCGTACTTAAACGTCAACTTTCGAGTACCAAACATTTAACTATAACTGCACTTAAAATGTACTTAAAAATCACACTTGAAATGTACATAAAAATCCCACATAAAGTACATAAAAATTAAAATGTACATCGTTACACGATCAGCACACTGTTCATAGAAATCATGTTTCTTTAGAGATACTTTCAAGTACCTGACTCAATCTACAAACTACTGCTCAGTTATTTACATATCCTCCTATATTTGCAAGCTTGATCAAATTCTGTATCTAAGAATTCTCGTAGTGATGTCACGAGATGAAAACAATTGAAAGAATACAAACTAAACTACAAAAGAAGTTCTTCAATTTGTGGATATTAATTTGCAAGTCTGAGGAACATCACAATGTTGTCAAAATGTATTTGCAAACTCGACCAAATTCTTACATGTCACAAAATAAAAACAATCGAAAGAGTACAAATACCTAAATTGCAAAAGGAGTTCTACAATTTGCGGATATTAATTTGCAATTCTGAACCTGTCGGTCTTATATTATAAGCTACATTTGCAAACTGGACCAAATTCTGTGTCTAAGAATTCTCGTAGTGATGTCACGAGATGAAAACAATTGAAAGAATACAAACTAAACTACAAAAGAAGTTCTTCAATTTGTGGATATTAATTTGCAATTCTGAGGAATCTGTCAATCTTATATCACAAGGTATTTGTAAACTCAACCAAATTTTGTATTTAAGAATTCTCGTAGTGATGTCACGAAACAAAAACGAGCAAATGAGTGCAAATACCTAAAACACTTCTCCACTTTTTGTCATCCAAGGTAGCTCTACCTTTGAACTCCACAAAATTCCTCTCTCTCTAATTCTCTGTCCTAAATATCCGAACCTAACAAAAATTCGCCAGCTGACCAAATTGCCAGTCCTGACCAAATTGTCAGACCTGAGCAAATTCCCGAAAAGTAGAATTTCCGCGAGCAGTAGAAAAAAGAAGCGAGCAAAAGTTAATTAAAGTAATTGCAACCGCGGATGGCGTCTCAGGAAGGAACGGTAATCGACGTCGAGCACCTTCGCCGTCCGGTTTCCCTTTCACTCACCTATCGCAGTCCGTGGCCTTGAAGTTGGCATGTCCGATGGAGGCGGCATCGGTCAAGGCGGCGATCGCCAGAACGATGAAAAGTCCATCTGGCATGTTGTTTCCTGGAAGAGGAACGGGTCACTCGATTGGCCCGGGGGTCGAACGTCGACGAACCTCGGTTCTTCACCGACCGGTGAACTTTCAACGAAAGCGAGCAACGTCGGCCGTCGCTCGCTGCGGATACGGCCGAATCGCTCGACGATCGGACGACCGACTGATACGCCGCTTGCGAACACCGATCTCGTTTCTCGCAGACCACGCGGCCTTCCGCTGACGGTTCGCTGCCTGCTCGCACACCCGCAACGCGTCCAATCGATTACGACGGTAAAAACAACGACAATGTAGCGGAGAAAAATCGAGTGCGCTCGGTTTAGACCCTCTGCAAGCTGAACAGGACTCGCGATCAGTTATATGAGTCTGGCGCTTGATAACGACTCGCTGCTCATTGGTCTAACAACCAAACACTCCCCCTGTCTGATTGGTTGTCGATTAAGCGTCGTTTATCTTCCCACGACGATGACCAAGGCGAAAGGCTTTTTGCGGAAATCGTGGTTTTCTTCACGGACCTACGTGAGGCGGATTACGAATCGCGCGATAACTTGGACCCCCGGGTTTCGAGACTTGTAAACTGGGTCACTTCCATGATGATGTTCTTTGTTTTGGTAGCTTTTTGGGAACTTTGAATGCTGATCGATTTGAATAAATCTACCGAGATATACTTGTTGTGTGCTGAACTTTTCCTGTAGCATTCAATCTTCTATTTTGAATAATTTGGTGTTGAAATTGAACATCGGTGGTTGCATCATTCATGATGTTTTTTACATTTCTGTAACTGTATATTCTTCATTTCGAGTTAACAGGTTCGATACGTTTGAGTTTGAGCTAAAAAAACTGGTGTTTTGAACTGCTGATCGAATTAATTGGTAGTCGATGTTCTACAGGTGATTGATTCTATTAGTGAGTCGTTTTGAAACTTTGTATCGAGTGTTTTTAACATACCAATCTGGATAAAGTTTTTCAGTCAGGTTTCTGAAACCCAATACTGATCATAATCAAGTGTACTTGCTACATAATAGCAGTATAAAGTTTCTTTATTATCAAGATTGAATTTTTTTTCACAAGGTATCAAGTTTCAGGAAGGTGTCAAATTTCTCTGTTACCAAGATTGAATTACTTTCAACAGGTGTCAAATTTTTGGAAGGTGTCAAGTTTCTTTGTTATCAAGATTGAATTACTTTCAACAGGTGTCGAGGTTCTGAAAGGTGTCAGATTACAATGGTATCAAGATTGAATTACTTTCAATAGGTGTCAAGTTTCTGAAAGGTGTCAGATTTCTTTGTTATCAAGATTGAATTACTTTCAACAGGTGTCAAATTTTTGGAAGGTGTCAAGTTTCTTTGCTATCAAGATTGAATTACTTTCAATAGGTGTCAAGTTTCTGAAAGGTGTCAGATTTCTTTGTTATCAAGATTGAATTATTTTCAATAGGTGTCAAGTTTCTGAACCCAATACTGATCATAATCAAGTATACTTGCTATATGTATAATAACAGTACAAAATTTGTTTGTTTTCAATATTGAATCTTTTCTCAAACCAATATCAAGTTTCTTAACCCAATAGTTTCTGACTATAATCAACTATACTTACTACATAATAACAGCGTAAAATTTATTTGTTTTCAGAATTGAATTTTTTAAAATAGTTTTCGAGTTTCAGAACCCAATAGTTTTTGACCATGATCAAGTATACTTGCTACATAAGAACAATATAAAATTTGTTTGTTTTTAGGATTGTCTTTTTCGAATCAATATCAAGCTTCTCAACTCAATAGTTTCTGACTATGATCAAATATACTTGACACATAATAACAGTATAAAATTTGTTTGTTTTCAGGATTGAGTCTTTTTTAAAGCAATATCAAGTTTGTTTGAATTCGATCTTTATCAAAGATATCACGGTCACAGTTGATCTAAATATGTGGTACGACAAAACACAAACGTGTATATGTACACAACGAGAAATAGATAAGATGAAATTTCGCGATTAAAACAGTATAAGATCGGTTAAAACGTCTCTTGTATAATATCAAGAAGTCTATATCGTTTGAAGACTTGGTAGTTTGTACCCTCAGGAAATCCAAACTTCTAAAGTTTCCCCAAAATACGGATTATTCAGACGCCATGTTCCGCGAGATATCTAAAGTGTCAGGCTGAAGTTTGAAACGTGACATGTAAGGAAGGAAGATATTTTCTGCAATTAACGAGTAAATCTCCTCGAGTATTTCGCGTAAACTGCGTATAAAATAATATCTGAATTAACACTGAATTCTAGCTAACCGACGATCTTTAGATGACTTCTAACTAACAAAATTGATGACCTTTAGTATAATATTAACTGCACGATTTTTAGTTTCCTTATCTCAAAGTGTAGAGCAGCGTTATCTTTTTCATTACTTAACACATTTGCAAGCGAAGATGAGAGTAAAAAATGTGTACAGAAATTTTCCATCGGGAACTGAAACATTTTGTTAACGATCACGGTTTAAATATAGTGTTTAAATATTTCAAAAATGCGCTCGATGTGTGCTTCATTGAAACATCTTTTTCTGCCTGTATGAATAATTCAAAGTACCTCGAGGCGTGGCGAGAAGACACTGGGCACAAAGAGAACGATGGGAAAATCGTACCAGTTTCATTTATTTACCACACAGGAAATAACTGTCTGAACACGCCTATATCTGCGAGAATCTTAACGTTTCAAGAATCATTTGTTTTATGACTTGTAGACTTCTAGCGTTGACAGGCAGCGAAATATTTGTAGATGTTCAATTTTTTGGATTGAAGCGCTGGATTTTGGTTTAGGAATTTTTAGGGTGAGAAAATTCCCACATTCCCTAATTTCTACAGTGTCCAATTCCTATATTGTTCAATTCCACCTTCCTCAATTCCCATATTGTACAATTCCACATTCCCCAATTCCCATATTCCCCAACTCCCACATTCCCCAATTCCCATGTTCCCCAATTCCCACATTCCCCAATTCCCACATTCTTCAATTCCCACATTCCCCAATTCCCACCTTCTCCAATTCCCAGAACCCCCATATTCCCACATTCCCCAATTCCCACATTCCCCAATTCCCACATTCCCCGATTCCCACATTCCCCAATTCCCACATTCTCCAATTCCCATACCCCCAATTCCCACATC